AGGTCTGGTGTAATGAGAGCAGAGTGTGATACTTACAGTAAGGTGAAATAAATAAAATAAAAATAAACCTGAATTACCCTTAAATCTTTTATAAACACATTTAAGATTGTGTCATGAATGCATTTTTGCTGTGAGAGCAACATAAGTGATTAGGTCTAGCTGCCAAACAAAAAAACACCTCAGAAAATAAATTGAGCATAACCCCCAGGACTTGTCATTCTGGTTTCAATGTCATCCCGGTTTTACGGTCAAACATCCCTAATATTCATCTGGCTGCTACTTAGGTAAATAGATAAATAATGACTAATATATCATATTTCATAACTTGCATATAGACTCTTATTGCACTATTTCACAATTTCACTTTTTTAAACTATTTTTCTTTTTCTTTTTCTGCGGTCTGTTATGCTACGCACAACATTCTTTATTATTCCGCCGGGTTATTTTGCGCCACTTCTCCGAGTCCCACATTGAACATCGCAGAAACTCCGTTCAAACATCAAAACGTTCAGCTCGGTCGGGAATTGATGGCTATTACTTTCATCATTCATAACTTTCATAATTCCAGAGATACATCCCATAATACATCCCATTTTTAACATGGAAGTCAATGGAGAAACTCTTCAGACTTCAACAATCTTCATGCAACTTCAACTGCTAACTGCTCCTTCTTCAACTGCTAACTGCTCCTTCATACTTTCACTCAGAAACCTCATTCCAACTTTAAAATGTGACACATCTTTCTGACATTATTCGTGTAATACAACTTTTAAATCTGATTCTTACTTTTATAGATATTAAACACATTTCAGACCTTGGTAAAGAGGCCTTCTTCAGATTTTAGAGTGCGTGATGTCACAGCTAGAGTGGAGGACAGATTTAATTTTGCCTTCATATTTTCTTTTAAACCTGCCATAATTCCCAAACCCTACATTCCTGAGACATAATTTTTCTTGACAAACGTAGGAAAACATCTCGTAGCTTGAAAGATAAAAAAAAATTAAGCAAAATAATTAAACAAAATGCCTCTTGAGGGCATGAAGTGACAAAAACGTTCAACATGTCTCCATTAAAACCCACTGTAAATTCAGCCTCACCTTTCCCCACCACAGCAGCCGCACACCTTTAGTTAATCTGCCAAAAAGGCCACATTATTAACCAGAAAGTACACAAAAAGTACACTTCAGATGCTCAAGTTCCTTGACATGCTTCACGCTTTGAGATTTCACCGATATCTGTTACGGTTCTTCAACAAAACGTTCACATGTAACAGGTTTATCTCTCATTCAGAACAATGAAAATGCTTTCCTCTCACTAATCACCATGGAAACCTTTGATCTCTGGACACGTCGTTAGCTCAAATATAAACACCTGTGTCATGGAACACGATGATGTCATAACTCCAATTGACATAATTAGAGCAGCAGACTAATGACGTGGTCACTGGAGTCTGTCTCAGCCTATTATTTTCCGTCTGATGGAGACTTCATACTGACTTCAACATGTTCCACATATTTTAGACATTATTGGTGATGTATGCTTTTAGTTCTAAAGTTTTCAGTTAAAATATTCTGCTGCTTTTTCATGCATTTAAACTTTTATTTTCTTGTTCTTATTTCACATTCAAGTCCCCTGTATTCATGAACCCTTTAAAGTACTCAGCCACACCACTTATATACCAGGTGCGACTGTTGCTATGTGAGTTAGGCCCCGGCTCCACGAGGACGAAAACGGGTTGAATCCGCATATTTCTCATGCGTATAGCCCTCTAAGCTCCACGAGGCCGTAAGGGAAACGTAGAAACAGACCCCGCAAACGACAACGGGTCCAAAGGTGGATAGATCTGGCAACGGAGCGCTCTGGGGGGTCCAACGGGGCCGTGGAGTCGCCTATACGGTCATTCGTTTTCATAGCCCCGCCTCTCCCCCGCAGGGTTGCTATCGTGCTCCAGTCGTTACTGACCATGCTACAGTTCTTTGTGCAACATCTACAGGAGCTCCTCCTTGAATTCAGATTATTTATCTTTATCTCGATATGGACATAAACGGGAGTGAAGTCTAATCTGACAGGACGGAGACACGCAGCTCCTGCCACTGTGATGCAGCGGGAGCAAAACACACACTTCAAGTCAGATCATCACCCTTAGCTATTTTAATTACCTCTCAAACTAAACTAGTTATAAATATGTTCATTTTTACTGTCGGGTCACTCATTACAGGATCAGCTGCTGCATGAGACAGACACTGACGCTGTGAGAAGAGAGGAAAAAGAGACAGCCTCCGTGTATTTGATGATTATATATCATTATATCGTCGTTATTCATTTGTTTTAAAGCTCAATAAATAACAATGAAGACCTTTGACCGGCACTTTTATAATTTTGTCCGGAAGATTTAAACTTTAACACACACTGACCGGCGAAAAACTCTGCCCGGTTCTGTCGGCCCCCACCGCGGAGAATACACAGAAGTGCAGCCATGACAACCATTCTTCTTCACTGCTTTTGTGGAGGAAGTTGCTGCTTTTGTGGAGGAAGTTACAGCGCCACGTACAGGTTCGGCATATGTACTGCAGCTTTTCCAGCGTTTGGATGTAAACGGAGCCGTCTCGTGGAGCTTGACACAATCCGGTGTATATTGCGTGGGGACGGAAGGTTTTTTGCGGTTGCATTTGCGTTACTCCGATGCGTTTTGCCGTATTTGTCCTCGTGGAGCCGGGGCCTCAATCTTTCAAATACAAGGTTGCTTGTTTGATTCAAGCTCTTGTAGTCAATATGTCAAGGTATTTATCCCTAACATTTTGTCAGCTAACTAATGACACACACTCAGAGGATCTTTATAAACGTTTTAAGTATTGCACATCGTTAAACATGACTCTTATAAATCACTTTTAAAACCAGCGATGCACTACAGTGTCAGCTTTTCTAAAATAGAAACGTCAATGTTCACATCTTTCTAAATGATTCTACTTTTCAATGACCTACAAATAATCCTAATAATAATCCCATTTTCAATCTTCCAACTGTTCATATTTTTTGGTCAATTAACAAACCTGTTACAAATGTGTTGTTCAACAAATTTGAGCGTTTGCCACATTTATTTGATCACCATGGAAACCTTTGATCTCTGGACACCTCGTTAGCTCAAATATAAACACCTGTGTCATGGGACACGATGATGTCATAACTCCAACTGACATGCTCAGAGCAGCAGACTTCAGATAATGGTTAATGGTCCTGCCCTCAACAGCTCTACGTCAATTATGGGGTGTCATCATATGCCGTTTCCATGGAAACGCATCCCTCGCCATAAAACATGATGTCGCTGTAACTCCAATGGACACGGTCCGATCGTCCCCCAAACATCGCTTGTATATCACCGGTCTATGCCTCAACAGCTTTACGCCAAATCTGAGATCTCACCATAGGCTGTTGCCATGGAAACGCATCCCTCGCCATAAAACACGATGTCGCTGTTGCTCCAATGGACACGGTCCGGTCGTCCCACAATCTTCACCTGTATATCACCTCTCCATGCCTCAACAGCTCTACGTCAAATCTGACATCTCACCATATGCCGTTTCCATGGAAACGCATCCCTCGCCATAAAACACGATGTTGTCGTAAAGCCTAGGGTAAAAACAGCACCACACTTCAGATAATGGTTAACGGTCCAGCCCTCAACAGCTCTACGTCAATTATGGGGTTTCATCATATGCCGTTTCCATGGAAACGCATCCCTTGCCATAAAAGACGATGTCGCTATAACTCCTATGAAAATGTTCAAAAAGTGCTCAAACTTCACATGTGTGCTAACAGTCCAGCTGTGAAGACATCTACGGGACAGTTTTGAGATTTCTTCAAATGCCGTTGGCATGGCAACACAATGCTCGCCATGAAACACGGTTTTCTCATAACTTCAGTGAAAATGCTCCAAATGGCCCAAAACTTCACAGGTTTGGTAACGATGCAGCCATCAACACATCTAAGCGTATTATGGGATGTCATCAAATGCCGTTAGCATGGCGACAGAAGTTTGCAGTTCAAATATTCTGCTGCTTTTCCAAGCCTTTTTACTTTCTTTTCTTCTCTCATCACACATTCAAGCCCCCAGTGTTCATGTATCATTCCAATCTAAATTCTTCACTTTCTTCTTACACATTACATTTCAGCAACGCAGTTTAGCGTCAGCTTTTCAGCATAAAGCATTCCCACTAGCAATTTCTTCATGAATTGCATTCTCTAGTTGTATTTACTATTTACAATTTACTTGCACTATATTTGTCTGTTTATCTGTGTTTTGTGTTGCACTGTTGGAGAAGCCTGTGGCAAGACAAGATTTTCATCGGCATAACTACACTGTAGCTATGTTCGCATTACTAAATAAAGAACCTTCAACCCTTGATTTTCACATGTTTTTCTGAGAAGAAAATAAAACCTGAATTTATAATTATTTTCTTAATCTTAAAAATAAATAAAAAATGCAAATATCTTGTTTCATAAAAATTCGGAAAAACCCCAACATTTTATTTTGTACAGACATGTACATGTGGCACTCATATCACATCTTGAAAATAGAAACACAATTTATTACAAACTCAACCTGTTAGCTTTTCTTTTAATGTGTGTTATTTCTTTCTTCAAACTTTCATTTATGCATTCAACACATTGAGACTTAGTAAGAAATTGAAGACATTTAGAATAAAATATCTACAATGAAAGAAGCTCTGGTGCTTTCTCTCTCTCATGCTTTACAATAGAAACAACAATATACAAATACATCAATATCGATATTCAACAAATATTTAGAGCAAAGTTTACATTTCCATGCAGGGAAATATCAGTTGAGGTTAACAGAAATCCTCCTGAGCAGTGACAGCCTCCGTGGCTAAAGAGACACAGGAAGGAGCGCCCCCTAAAGAAACTCCAACATCTACAGAACAACTCATGAGAAGATGTTAAAGCACATCCCATAATGTTTGATTGAAAGCTGATCTCTGTGCAGTGAAGACATGAACAATCAGCTCTCAGCAACAATGATGGACACACAATGAGTTTAAGAAGTAGAAGAGTTCCTCAAATGACTTCTGGCTATTTCAGTTTACACAACTCGGCTGTGGTTCCATGATAACAATAAAGCAAAACTCCAGCATGTAGCGGCTGAGTGAATGTGGTCTGGACTCTGTGGAGGAGAGTCATGGTTTCAGAGACGCTGTAGAAGGACAGAATACCTGCTCTGTGATCCAGGTACACTCCTACTCTGGAGGACTGAGGACCTGAGACGGGAGTGATGATACTGTTGTAACTAAATGTATAACTGTTTTGCTCACAAATTAACGCCCAGGATTTGTCATTGTATCCAAATAAACTTTCATACACCCCCCCTGCTCTGATGATATTCTTGTATGTGACTGCTACAACTGCTCCCCCTCTCCGCTCCACCTCCCAGTAACAACGTCCAGTCAGACTCTCTCTACTCATGACCTGAGGCCATTCAGTGAATCTGTCTGGGTGACTAGAATAAGACTGATGTTGTTTCATGAATGTTGCTTTTCTGCTCCCCTCAGATAATACCAGCCGTGTGTATGCTGTGTTTGGATCCAGTGTGATCTCTTGTGAACATTTTAAGAACCCAGCTCTGGTGGTGGGATCTGCTGCTGACAGTAAAACATCCACTTCAGTTGGTGAGACGTTTGTCCATTCCTCTCTCAGGACGTCCTGTAGTTTGTCTCTGACTGCTGACAGGGCCGCCGTCACGTCCTCAAAGTAGCTCAGAGGACGGATGTTGATGCTGGATGAGTGTGTAGGTTCACTGAGGGCTGACAGTGAGGGGTAGCTGTGCAGAAACTGGTTGTGATCCTCTGTGTGAGAGAGCAGCTTCAGCTCAGCGTCTCTCCTCTTCAGCTCAGCCATCTCCTGCTCCAGCTTCTCCTGAAGCTCTTTGACTCGACTCACTTCACTCTTCTGCTGGTATCTGACCTGCTGCTTCACATCAGAGCTTCTTTTCTCCATGAGATGGATCAGCTCAGTGAACATCTTCTCACTGTCCTCCACTGCTTTATCAGCAGAGCCATTGACGGCCTCCACCTCCTGCTGAAGCAGCTTCACCTCCTTCTCTCTGTCCTGGATTCTCTGCTGGATGTTTAGTCGACTCCCCTCCAGCTCTCTCTGCCTCTCAGTCCTCTCTGCTGCAGCTGACACTGTGTCGTGGCCTTTATGTTCGTCCACAGAGCAGAGATAACAGATACACTGCTGATCAGTGCGGCAGAACATCTTCATCACCTCGTCGTGAAGAGAGCAGATGTTCTCCTGGAGCTTCTTGGAGGGCTCCACCAGCTTGTGTTTTTTAAACGTAGCTGCGTCATGATGAGGCTGGAGGTGTTTGTCACAATAAGAGGCCAAACACTGCAGACAGGACTTACAGGCTTTCCGTTTTCTCCGAGTGCAGACATCACAGGCCACATCTTCAGCTCCAGCATAGCAGTGATCAGCAGGAGCTTCTTCAAGTCCAGTCTTCTTCAGCTCCTCCACTAAATCTGCTAACATGGTGTTTTTCACCAGGACAGGCCTCGGTGTGAAGCTCTTTCTACACTGAGGGCAACTGTAGACTTCCTTCTCATCGTCTTTGTCCCAGAAGCTTTTAATACATTTCATGCAGTAGCTGTGTCCACAGGGGATAGTCACCGGATCCTTCAGTGAATCAAGACAAATCGAACAGCAACCGCAACCTGTTTCATGGACTAGCTGAAATCCTTGCTGCGCCATCGTACCACACTGAGAGCAAATGCCTGAAAGTCTTTCCTCAAAACAGAAACAAGCCTGAGCGCTTATATGCCCTGAATGAGGCTTATCAGCTCTTGTCACCACATTTCTATTACACCAATCAGCACATTGTCAAGGGGAGGGCACATGGAAAAAACTCTGTTTGAGAGCAGGAAGAAGACGGATAAGTTATCAGGGTTTTTATAGTGGCAACGTGGCAAAGGACTATTACCCTGTTCCAAAGTCCTTCCAATAAGTTAGTGAGGCTATAAGGCAATCCCACTGAGAAAAAACAACGTGCTTGAGGGCTATTTTCCTGACTTCTTGAACACTTTTCTGCACATTTCTTGCAAGTAACTTTGTTGATAAAATGACACTTTGTCCAATTCTTCATTCAGCGACTTTTTAATATACTAAAACACCATCTTTTGCATTCATACAGCCATGACTTCAACTCATATTATGGGGCAGTAAAGTTTCGACAGCATCTAAATGTGTTCTACAATACATTTCAAAATATAAAAAATATACATAATGTACTTGAATTCTTATCTGTGTTATCTGGGAGTGTGCAGGGTTTCTGTTAAGCATTGTAAGTCGTAAAACAGAGCCACACTTCCTCTATTATCAGCCCTAAACAGTACATTGTGCTATTGCATTTCTATGTACTGTATTCTGTATTCCCATATGGATAAGTAGTTTGCAATACAAATATGCCAAGTTGTAATGAAACATAGGGAGCCTAAAAACATCAGGGTCTAAACACTGCTCTGGTGTAATGAGAGCAGAGTGTGCGCTTGTGTGTACGTCCTTTGTGTACGTCCTGTGTGTTGTGAGGTTGCAAAAGTCTTATCAGTTTAAGCGTTAGTTCACCCGAATGACTAAATAGGTCAAAAACAAAGTAGTGGTACAGTACTGTATGTGGCCTTGCAGATTCATCTTCATCTGCTTCATTTGCTTTTGAAATGGACATTTGATAAAGTCGAAAAGGTGAAAATAATTCGGATTTATAACAGGGATAGAATTGAAAATCAGTAATTTTCTACAGACATTTGTAGTCCGACAACAACATTTCAATTTGTTAACCTGTTAAGCACTGAGCCTGTTTTTCAGGTCTCAGGCTCGAAAATGACATTCCCAGAACAAATGACCATATCTTCCCTTCTAAAAGGGTTAAATTAATAATCTTTTTTCTCAAAGTAATGATAAACCTGTGAGTCGGATGTAGAAAAGTCAGAATCAATATAGATGTTTTTTATTTTAAAGAAAATTCAGATTGAACATAGTAAAAAACTGTAAATTATACAGACATTATATGTCCGTCCAAAAATTCTTTTTTACTTATAGTGAAAACTACCCTTGGATGATGGTAAGGTAGACTAAAAGCTTTAGGAATCCAAAGTACAACATATAATAAATACCCTGTATCAAGATTGATGCAAAACAAGTGACATTTGACCTTTTTAAGAGAGGTTTAGCAAAAACAACTCCACCTCTGAGGCGATTTGGGTGGAAATGGGGGTTTTTCCATATCTCTGGCCCCCCTTTGTCGATTTTGATGGTTGACACCTCTTTCTGACCGTTAGAGCCAATAGAATCGAAGGGGAATCTCCCCACTCACACACATTGTAAAACAAAAAGGTGGGGGCTTCGCGCATGCAGTTTTGCATCAGAGCGAACCTATACTCTAGCTCTGACATCTGGAAACGGAAAAGCAGGTTTATTGCTTTTGGATTATCAGAAATCATTTCAAAGAGACACAGACACATTGGATTAACCTATGGATTAACTTCAGCAGCATTCTTATTGTTTTAATGCCATTGAAGACCACTTTTGACCAGACTAGGTCACGGGTAAGCCATGTTAGCGTTTTTAGCTACCTAGCGCCACATGTTTTGATGTCTGTTTTTGTTTATAAAGTCGCAAGTTCGTATCATGGAGTGATAATGTCTGCACCCATCGATTCTGTGTCACCTCACGATGTAAAACGATGTGTTGGATGTGCAGAAAAGATAAATAATAAGGTGTTGTGAGTGAATTTCGGTGCAGTAATCTGTTAGCATTTTTTGCTCGTTGCTAATTCAGAGGCTCAGCGTTAGCATTGTGGGTTTTATTTTGAAAAATAAATAAAAATGATTAGTTAGATGAGTTTTTTCCCGTTACATGGATATAAAACATTCATAGTTTATTAAATATTAAGATGCCCTCAGATACTGTTTCCTCAGATGACGCGTTTTTCCCCCCGGTATCGGGGGGGGCGGTGCTTAACAGGTTAAAAAGGACCATGGTATTTCTGCATGTAAATGGTGCAACACAAGCAATAGGAGAACAAATAAAGAGCTTTTTGAACATTTAAGCAAGGAAACATGTCACAGTAGAGACACAAAATACTGATATGAACCTGAAAGGAGCATAATAAATGTCCTCTTTAAAGGTCCTATGTCATGGCCATTTCTACTGATCATAATTCCATTGTTGAGGTTTACTAAAATAGATGTATACTGTGCAATTTTCCAAACTCACATTGGTTTCTCATACTGTAAAGTATGTGTATTCACTCTCTGTCCTAAACGGCTTGTTGGAGCTCCTGCCCCCCCCCTCTCTGTGAGTCCAGTGTGCTCTGATTGGTCACGACGTTGAGAGGCTCGTTGCTGCTCGCAGCTGCTGCTCGTTGCTGCAAGGAGCGGACAGGCTTCCGGGTCGGCGAAACAGCGAGAACAAGCAAAACTCATCCTGAGCACACACAAACACTCACAGCCGAAGTAAATACAATAAGTGTGGCTTGATATTGAGTAAAAAAAGGTTTATAACGCTGTGAGCATGGGTCTGCGGAGAGCATTTCTCCGCGATCCCAACGTAGTAGCCCGAAAAACTTTTACCCATTTAAACAGTCATGGTAGATACCTTGTTTGTTTTAAAAATCATAAATATACAAACAACAATGAATACTTACAGGTTGTGTACCCGAATCTCCCGCTGGTCCAAACAAAGTAGGAACAGCATCGTTCTTCAGTGCTCTACGCTGTACATATCCGGCATGAATCGCTGAAAGGTTTGGGAAGCTTTGTTTCGTGAAAGGCTGGCAGAGGGTGCGGCCTCCGGGTATCCCCACGTCAGAGTACCCAGGAAGTAAATGAGAAATCTCCAACGAGGCGTTTTGGGGAGGTCTTTTCTGTGTTAGAGTGTTACTCCCTACAGGGTGTACTTTGAGGGTTTTTGACTCTGCAGACCGTTTACATGCATAAAAACCTTCATAACACACAAGGGGACGGGTAATAACCGGAAAAGCATGACATGGGACCTTTAAATATTTGTAATTATCAAGAAGCAACGTCCAAAGCCAATACAGGGGGCAGCTTCTCTGATTACAAAAAGAAGTCTAGATTGTATGGAAGTCTATGAGAAAATGACCCTACATCCCACTTAAGTTATTATCTCTCTTCTACACCGCACCCCCGATACCGGGGGGAAAAACGCGTGATCTGCAGGAAACAGCGTCTGAGGGCATCTTAATATTCAATAAACTATGAATGTTATATATCCATGTAACGGGAAGAAACTCAGCTAACTGATCTTTTTTTTTTTTTTTTTAAAAAAACCACAAAGCTAGCGCTGGGCCTATGAATTAGCCACGAGCGAAAAAATGCTAACAGCGTTTTGCACAGAAACTCACTCATAACACCCTTATTATGTATCTGTACTGCACGTCCAACATATCGACTAGCATCGTGAGAAGACACAGAATCGATCGGTACCTACATCATTACTCCATGATAACAACTCGCGACTTTATAAACAAAAACAGACATCAAAACATGTGGCACTAGGTAGCTAAAAACGCTAACATGGCTTACCTGTGTCGTTGTCTGGTCAAAAGTAGTCTTCAAGGCATTAAAACGATAAAAATGCTGCTGAAGTTAATCCATAGGTTAATCTAATGTGTCTGTGTCCCTTTGAAATTATTTTTGATAATCCATAAGCAATAAACCTGCTTTTCCGTTTCCAGATGTCAGAGCGAGAGATAGGTTCACTCTGATGCAAACCTGCATGCGCAAAGCCCCCACATTTTTTTGTTAACAGGTGTGTGTATGTGGAAATTCCCCTTCGATTCTATTGGCTCTAACGGTCAGAAAGAGATGTCAATCACCAAAATCGACCAATGGGTTCCAGAGAAACGGTAAAAACGCCCATTTCCACCCAAATCACCTCAGAGGTAGAGTTTGTTTTGCTAAACCTCTCTAAAAAGGTCAAATGTCACTTGTTTTGCATCAATCTTGATACAGGGTACTTATTATATGTTGTACTTTGGATTCCTAAAGCTTTAGTCTACCTTACCATCATCCAAGGGTAGTTTTCACTATAAGTAAAAAAGAATTTTTGGACGGACACTATAATTTACAGTTTTTTACTATGTTCAATCTGAATTTTCTTTAAAATAAAAAACATCTATATTGATTCTGACTTTTCTACATCCAACTCACAGGTTTATCATTACTTTGAGAAAAAATATTATTAATGTAACCCTTTTAGAAGGGAAGATATGGTCATTTGTTCTGAGAATGTCATTTTCGAGCCTGAGACCTGAAAAACAGGCTTAGGGCTTAACAGGTTAAACACCTTACCTCTGTTTGAGAGCTTCTCCAGCAGCGTCCTGAAGCGTTGCACTACAGACGGAGACACATCGTAGGTGTAAACGTCCGTCACTGGAACGGGGTGACACCGTCCAAACATGGCATCTGTCAACACACAAACAGGAATTTAGAGAAACGCTTTTTAGATTTTACATTTGACACAGGCTGAACATACAGTTTCTGAGCTAAAAGTATTGCAATTAACAACAACAATGATTAAAATATCACGGATGACGATGACCTAAACTTTTATTTTCACGAACAATGTACGCTAGAGGGGGACCAGAAAGGTTTTTAAGCTTCTTCTTGCCCCTTTTTAACGTGACGGAAACTATTTGAGAATAAAAAAAATTATACCTTGAACATTCTTTTTGGTTTTTTTTGCTTCTCTTTGTCATAATCAGAATGAGAAAACCTTTATTAGTCCAACAGAGGGGAAATGTACATTGTTACAGCAGAAAAGAGCCAAATACAGCTTAATGTTACCTAAGAAGCATGCATAAAAAAGTATTAAAGATACAAAAATTATAATAAAAAATAGTTACACATCATTACTATTGTTTGTTTTGTATCTAACAAGTTCAATAAATTGACAAACAAAATAAAAAAATATTCCAAAACATCCCTGTAACCCTGTAAAAAGCATTATTTAGGGTGTGAAAATGACTTATACTGTAGTTCGTCCACATTTGTGCTGTTTGCATGTTCAATGGGGTTCAGTATATCTCTAACTGTATATCTGCATGTATGATTGTGTATGGGAGACTGTGCATGTTGCATAATGGCACTTGTACATGGTAATTCAGGCCTCTTGTCTATAAATAGCCTCTGCGACACTTAGGCCGTCTCTATCAAAACTCAAGCTCCATTTAGCAGTCAGCTGAGGATGACCAGCAGCTGGTCGGCACTGATGTGATTAATCTGAGACGTTTCACTGTTATTTTGTTGTTACAATGACAGAGACGAGAGAGGAAGCTGGATATTTGTAAACTGAACATTAGAGCCTGCCATTTATCCAAAAATACCGTAAAGAGGACACTTTAAGCTCATGTTCAGGTGTATGTAGTGTCTCTATTTTAAAGAGACCTCTCCTGGTGATGTTCAGGTGTATATCAGTATGTAGTGTCTCTATTTTAAAGAGACCTCTCCTGGTGATGTTCAGGTGTATATCAGTATGTAGTGTCTCTATTTTAAAGAGACCTCTCCTGGTGATGTTCAGGTGTATATCAGTATGTAGTGTCTCTACTTTAAAGAGTCCTCTCCTGCTGATGTTCAGGTGTATATCAGTATGTAGTGTCTCTACTTTAAAGAGTCCTCTCCTGCTGATGTTCAGGTGTATATCAGTATGTAGTGTCTCTACTTTAAAGAGTCCTCTCCTGCTGATGTTCAGGTGTATATCAGTATGTAGTGTCTCTACTTTAAAGAGTCCTCTCCTGCTGATGTTCAGGTGTATATCAGTATGTAGTGTCTCTACTTTAAAGAGTCCTCTCCTGCTGATGTTCAGGTGTATATCAGTATGTAGTGTCTCTACTTTAAAGAGTCCTCTGTTTTGCTGTTAAAAAAAAGGATGTGTAATAATACAAATAAATGGTTTTGTTAAAGGATGCCGCCATGAAATGTAGAAAGCAGCTCTCTCTCCAATGTACAACATAACGAGTGCACTGCTAAAAGAAAAAGGAGGCAATTTGAGATGTCGATTGAAAAGGAAACATAATGATAGAGGGGGAAAAAACACATTAAATGAAAAACAATAAATGCAAAAGATTGGAAAGGTTTTATATTTGGATTTTAATCAAATGACCATCTCTTCCCTCTTACAGTAAAACACCGTGTGCTGCATTATCCTCTCTAATCTGGACCATAAATCACAATACGACACGTCTGCCTCTGAATTACGGCCTCCGGTACTAAACCGGGATAAATTACACAGCCTTGGATATGCATGCATATAACTATGAGAGATCATTCAAGATGTTCCCTCTGCAGAGACACATAAATTGTGTTATATGAGATCACAAGAAGAAGAGGAAAGAAGGGACTGTGGTGCAATCGTTATTTTGCTTCTCATTTATTGCATATATATGTGCTTTAGGGTTAGTATTTAAATACATTTGTGTTACTGTAAGACCTCATACCTGTATGTATGTAAAATAAACCTATGATAGTAATGTTGGTATGCAGGCAATGAGAGAGAAACGGTGCTTTTACCTAGTTGAATAGTATCATTTGCTGTTTGTAGTTGTTCAATTTAGGTTTGAAAGCACTCAAAAACACACAAAAACATTATTTATGTTAAATTAAATGATATTGTTCTGCAGAATTCAGGCTTTAATAGATGAATTAGTCCATGCTGTTAAGAAGAGCTGATGAACCTGCAGATTTTGCCTTTTGGGGTTTAACAGTGAAGAAAAGTCAATTAAAACCATAAATTGCCCTAATAATCAAACTTCTTGTCATTTTTGAGCCATTGAGAAACTTGTAGTTATGTGTTAACCCTACTACACGTTATTCTTGTACTTTTTCCGAATGCTAAAGCAATAAAACATGTTGTCACAGGGATTGTACATCAATGGCACTTAGGTCTGGACACAGCGTTGCTCTGCAGGGACTCGCTGACAGGAAGTCCTGCTGCCTAATGAACTGGATTAAGACGTTTTAATGGATCTGTTTCCTCCGGGGACCAGCACAAGTCCATCATCCCTCACCGACCACAAGATCAATGACATCTGGCATCGCTTAGCAGGCCTGGCTGCTTCAACTGAATACAGGAAGTAAAGTGGTTTCCTTCATACAAGTCAAGAACTGGATCTGGATATCATGGGTTTTAATGTGTTAGGAAAAGAGAGCTCTAGGATGAGTTTTAAAAACAGGAGATAAGTCGGGATTCTACAACTTCCTGTTCCCTTTTCTAGAAGTCAATAGCTTTTTGAAGAATAACATTAGCCGCCTTTAGCTTAGCGGTGGTGACGTGAAGTGATGTGACCGTGCTGTAGTTCTTTTATAGCCCAACATTAGCCGCCTTTAGCTTAGCGGTGGTGACGTGAAGTCATGTGACCGTGCTGTAGTTCCTTTATAGCCCAACATTAGCCACCTTTAGCTTAGCGGTGGTGACGTGAAGTCATGTGACCGTGCTGTAGTTCCTTTATAGCCCAACATTAGCCACCTTTAGCTTAGTGGTGGTGACGTGAAGTCATGTGACCGTGCTGTAGTTCCTTTATAGCCCAACATTAGCCACCTTTAGCTTAGCGGTGGTGACGTGAAGTCATGTGACCGTGCTGTAGTTCCTTTATAGCCCAACATTAGCCACCTTTAGCTTAGCGGTGGTGACGTGAAGTCATGTGACCGTGCTGTAGTTCCTTTATAGCCCAACATTAGCCGCCTTTAGCCAGGGTTGCCAACTCTCACGCATCTGGCGTGTGACACACGCTTTCACTCTCAATCTCACGCTCTCACGCTGCCCAAACTATTCTCACGCCAAAAACAAGATGAACCGCCGATCGTTTTTGGTTGGTTATTTACAATGTTGAGTTGACAGCTGCTCAAGCTGTCGAACCGCTCCCTCCCCGCCCCCACCACTCTTAACAACGTTAACAGACAGCAGAGCAGTGGGAGCCGGTTGGTCAATCCCCGACCCGTATTGCGCATGCGCAGATCTAAGATCCAGTAGAAATGATAAAAAGTAAAAGTCTGCTGCTTATTGTTCTACTAGGCCAAAATAGAGTCAAAGAGTATATGAGAGTGAGAGTGTGAGTGTGTTAATTAATATATTTGGCAGTTTGGAGTAAGTCTGTAGATTTGTTTGTGTGTTTCATGTATAGGCCTCTCACGATAATTAATTTTGTTGGATACATTTTCCCGGAAATTATTGCGATAAACGATAATATTGTCGGCACCGTTGTATGACCATTTTAGACCACTGACATAATGATAATATATAATAATAATTCAAGTACATCCTTTCAAACTGCTAGTCACATCCTCATGTAAATGGCAATTTATCGAGGTCAGAAAAGTTATCGAGTTCATTTTTATTTATCGTACGATAAGTCAATTAATTGCTTATCGCGACAGGCCTATGCACACAATAAAACAGTGGAAACAAACATGTGATTGACTTTCATTAGTGAATGAAACTTTGTGCCCTTGTATATATTGTATATATATCCTATATATATGCTAAGGTCCCGCTACTGACACGATAGCAGTCATTTAGTACGCATATGTGTAATTAAACCCTTGATATCAAAATCTCACTCCGGCCAGGTACCCAAAGTTGGCAACCCTGCTTTAGCTAAGCGGTGGTGACGTGAAGTCATGTGACCGTGCTGTAGTTCCAATAAAGCCTTTAATTCCTTTAGGAAAATGTAAATGTAATGTAATGTGTTGAAAATAAGGGAGTGATACTGGTAAATTAGGAAGAGTGAGAGCACATTTAAATCGTTTTGGAGGTAAGGTTGTTCAAATTTAAATATACAGGCGAACCCTGAAGGATAAATGCATTAAGTGAAAGAGACTGACCTGGATTACAGTTGAATTATATCATTTGTGAGTTCAAGAGCACAAGAAAGTAGCTTTTTTCAATCTGTATAATCTCATTGACTCAAAATACCAGATTTATATTCAACTCATTTGTGAAAATTGTGTTTTATTTTGAAACATTAAGCATCCGTCAATAAACTAATTTAAAATGACTTGCAAGTGTCTATTAAACACAGTATCGTAAAAACCAGTTGACTTTGAGCAACCACTCCTTTTTTTCTATAACAGAACCAATTAAGCTTTGGTCCTTTGTTAATAATTTAAATCCACAATATCATCAAATACAGACTTAGCGATGGTATGTTATTAGCCCTGGTTCCCCTTGTCTTTGTTTGCTGTGACATTTCCAGCGTTGCAGCGTTCAGGAGGATGCAACAGGTGCTGATGGGTAACGGGCCGTTTTACCCCTGCTGCTCTGTTGCTATGACAATTTCCATCAAGTGCTTTTTGTCCTTTGTGGCTAATCAGCAGGAAGCAGAGCCCCTTCCTGTGTGTGTGTGTGTGTGTGTTGTGGTGGGTGTGTGTGTGTGTGTGGTGTGTGTGTGTGTGTGTGTGTGGTGTGTGTG